TGTTTGTGGCAGATAACTGTTACCTAATGGAAGCTTTTGGCCATCCGCTGTGCTTTAAAATGCTTTAATCCAGTCTTCTGCCCCTTATTCTACTGAGTTTTAGATCAAACGGTCTTCTCTAAAGGTATCTTTCAATTTTCTGTGTCCTGTAAACTCTCTGGGACATAACTGATGGCTGAAGTGACAGCCATGGAAATAGAGGACTGCGTGTGGGGATCTCCTATTCAACAATAGCTTTATGTGGCACTGTTCCTTACACTATTCACTGTTTTCGCTCTTACATAATGCATCTGTTTAAGCAGTAGGCCCACTTTTGTCCCCCAAACCCACCCTATGTCATAATATTTTCTTTCTTTTTTTTTCTTTCTCTTTCTTTTAATTATTAATTTTTTGTTTTTGCTGCTATTTGGTGAACACAGTTTTGCCATGTAGCCCAGATTGGCCTACTAGTTGCTATGTAGTACTGGTTGGCTAGTACTTGCTACCTAGCCCAGGCTAGGCTCAAAGTCACTGTAATCTTCCTGCTTCGGCCTCCCAAGTACTGGGATTACAGGTACATACTACCACATCTAATTTCCTCATCATATTTACATTTTCAGAGTGCCTTGTGCAAAACTGGCCCTGAGAAAAATAATGATGATGACAGAAATAATGTTAATCTGGTATCCCTCACCATATCCAATAGGCAGGGTCTGTGACTGAGTCCAGGCCTGCATGATTAGATTTCCAGCTGTGGGTCCCGGAAAACTTCCTAATGCTTCCTCATCTCTGAATCCTTGTCTCCTGGTCATAATGCACGCTCCATACATGTTGTTTGGTTGTTTTCTTTTTAGTGTTTTTGTGTGTTTGTTTTTAATGATAACCATCAAGGCTCAACTCACTCTAGTAAGGAAAAGTCCATTCCTGGGCTGCTGAGATGGTCAGCAGGTAAGGGTGTTTGTTACCAAATCTGAAGACCTGAATTCAATCCTCAGGATGTACATGGTTGAAGAAGAGGACTGACTTCCACAAATTGTCCTCTGGCCTCCTCACATGCACTGTGGCATGTTCATAATTCCACCCCCAACACTAGATATATTGATAGATGGATAGATGATTAGATAGATAGATAGATAGATAGATAGATAGATAGATAGATAGATAGATAGATAGATAGATAGATAGATGATATACATAAAAAGAAAAGTCTATTCCTACAAAAACAACAGTGGTTCTACTTGTAAATCTGCTAGAGACACTGGGAGTGATCCTGACCCTGACAGCAGGGTGGCCCTGAGCAGTGTTCCTTAGTTGCTACAATGATTTGCACTGGCCCTCATGGTTTTCCATATCCATACCCTGGTGTCCTCTCTATGGTCCTCAGTCACCCAGGTGTTTATCTGTGGCTACTCACTGTGTCCGGCAGCCAGGCACACATAGGCTCCTGATTGCTCCCATCAAAAGATGAGTTAAATTCCCATCTCAACCCCCTCAAGACTTTGCCATGGGCTTCCCAGGATAGTGGCATGCAGAAGCTACGAGCCATGGCTGCCTACACTCCTACTGACCCACTGAACTGCCCCACACAGGTCTCTTTACCCACACATAGCATGGAGGTAAGGAATGAGTCCTTTCCCTGTGCTGTTACTTCTGCCTCGAGCTTTCTCCTCCTTCTAATTCCTCCCTGCCCATTCTTTAAGGTATAAATCAGAATCGAATGACTGCTGCCAACCAGTGGTTGAGTTTTGCTTCCTCCCTTGACAATGTATGTGCTGGTGTTCTTCCCCTTCAGCACACTTCCTGCATCCGATTTCATTTCATACTTTCTGTGATTATCTTCCAGTTGGTTGTGAGCCCTACTGTTTCCATTATTTCTCTGATGTGAAGTACAGTACCTAGCCTGGGCTGGACCATGGTTGGGTCTTCTTTTTTTTAAAGACGTTTATTTTATGAGTATGATTATTCAGCCTGCAGATATATATATATATATATATACACACACACACACATACACACACACACACTACGTGCACGCAGTGCTTGTGGAGATCAGAAGAGGGCATCAGATCCCCTGGAACTAGAGTACAGATGGTTGTTAGCTTCCATGTGGGTGCTGGGAACTAAACCCTGGTCCTCTATAAGAGCAGCCACTGCTTTTAACCACTGAGCCACCTCTCTAGCGCTAACTATGGTAAGGATGAAAAGGAAGAAGTGAAGAGATAAAGGTAGGGACCAGAGAAGGAAAGGGAATGGGTAACCTCCCATTCTTTGCTTGTCTTAACCTTAGCTGAGTTGTAAATACACATCTGGATGCAAAATGGGCTGAGATTGAAAGAGAGCATTATAACATCTGGGAATTTGCATCTCCTGGAGTTATGATTTAGGACTCGAGGGGCCTGAAGCTTCTCTTGGGTGTTGAAAGAGTACCCTCCAACTGTGGAATGCAGAGTAAAGAAAACTTTGTGACTGACAGTAAGGTTACTCACTTTACTCCCGACAGGACTGGAGTTAGTGTGAATATTTTTTAAAGCAATTTCCAACTTAAGTCCAGCAAACAGAGTATCTCATGAGCCTTACAGGACTGGTAAGTTCAGAAAGGCCAAAGAGCTATGTGTTTGTTACTATGATGCCTTCCAAAGCAGAGGCCCTAGCCAGCTCCTCACCCACAGGTCCTCAACACAGCCTGCATCATGTTATGAGGATTCCCTTCCACACAGTGATGACATTCAGCTAAGCCACAGTTTCCTTGACCAAGGAAGAAACCCGTGTGGTTTGGGGTTGGGGGTGTGGATGAGCAAACACAGATTTTTTTTTTTCCCCATTGCCCAGTGGCTCTAAATTGCAACCTCTCTTTTCATTTTCCATTATGCCTCAAACACATCTGTGCCAGAACTAGACGAATGGAATCCGTCTGGGAGGATGATCCCAGACAGCTATAAATTAGAGTTTGTGTTCAGAGATTCCAAAAATGTGGCCTCACGGTAGGGTGTCCCTGGGACTAGTCACCTCCTCCACAGTCTGCTTGGTGGCTGCTGGTTTTGGCCCAGGGCCTCTGTCAATAGATTTTGCTTTGTATTTGGAAACTCTGTCTTTCCATCTAGGCACCAGAGAGTGGAGGAAGCTGGAAAGCTGGTGAGGCTTGCTGGGCAGATCATCCCAGGCAGCCCAGGCACTTACTTCTAGGGACATAGCTTTAACCAAGCATGTCACTCTTCCCTACACAGTAACAGCCAGGACCCCAAAGCTGCCATCCTCCTGAGTAAAGCACAGCCCAAGAAGACTCCCTATTTTTCCAGGTTGAACATAGAAAGTAATACATGATGCTTTTCAAAAGCTATGTTTCTAAGCTTAGAAGAGCAATGCACAATTATCATAGAGCTCTTAGAAAGCAATGAAGGAAAAATCACCCATAATTTCACCCTTTAAAGATAAATACTGTTAATGCCTTAGCATGGTTTCACTTCATGTTTCCATGCCAGCCTGCCCTTTAAAAATGCACAAGTCTTTCAAAAGGAGGTTGAGCCAAGCTCCTTTAACTGCCCCTCACATTATCGAATTAGTGCCCTCTCTGGGGGCTGGAAACCATTAGTTATTCCACATGGGAACAGCCAACTGGTAGAACTCAGCCACCCACTCCTCCTCACCGAACGAAGGACCATGTAGTTTATAAGCCAGGTACACAGGGTATTGGTGTTGGGAGACAGAAGGTGAAGAGGTAAAAAGCCTTGGGTAGCCCAAAAGGCCCCTTATAAGCTGCCCTACATAAAAGGAGCCTGCCTAGAAAGACCTCTGGCCTAACCATGACTAGATTTTTCCTCATGAAACTGCTCTTCTGCTTTCCCTCCTTGGCTTCTGCTGCCAGCATCTTCGTGTGCTCTCCTCTCTTTAGACAAGGGCAGACCCTCACTAGCTTGTCTGGTGAGAACTAGGAAGGCCCAACAGTAACTGGAAGGGCTGGCAGAGGCTGGATGCTTTTTTTACATCTCTGCTTCTTTTCCCATAGTGCTTTGCTCTCAAAGGTACCCAGTAAATATCTGAAGATTAATACAGGGAAATCTGAGAGTGATGTTTGTGGAGAGAACACCTTGGCTGGAGCCTGCTGCCCTGTGGTTAGAACAGTCCCGAGGTGGCAGGCAGAGCTGCCAGCTCAGACATGGAGCCGGTAACAGTTCTCAGCCAGGGGAAAGGAGCCCAGTGATGACTCTACCAGCTGCCAGCCTGCCCGGCCACTGCCTGTGGCAGCCACTCAGCCTCTCCATGAGCCACATAGCACAGACCATGCATTTTCAGAAAATTATTTTTTCCTTTTTCACTTTCCATGGAAACTCAAAATAGCAACCAAAAAAAAAAAAAGAAAAAAAAGTGTCCTGTAAAACCATCCTCAGGCAGGACAGGGCCAGGGCCAGGGCCAGTGGCCACCATGTAAGACACAGGGAAAGAGGGTCAATAGAAGCCTGTGAACAGCATTCTAATGGGAAACTGCGCCATGAAGTGTGGGTGGGCTCAGAGGCTGGTATTTGTTTTTCTAATTTAGAAAGTGCCTTCCCCCAGGTCCTGGAGTTCATCTTGCTCTTGGTGACCTGCCACCTGAGACCATTGTCACTAAGATGTTGGCGAGGAGGTCCAGTAATGTTTCTCAAGAGACAATAAGGCAGAGGCAGATGCCTGCCAGGGGCATTGTTGTTGAACAGTGATTTCTGACACATACACATATACTTTCAAACCATGAACACCGAATAACCATGGGAGAGCTCCATGGCCCACCAGTAAACCTGTGGCTGAATTTAGAACAGTCCAGTGTTGATCAATCAATCACATCAGAGCCCCAAAGGGACCTAGAGTACATGCTTTTGTCCCTCTGAGCCTGGTTTCCTCCCCAGAAAGACAGGAAAGGTAGGTGAGGTGATCTCTATAGGGGTGAGCCCTCCCAGGTTCCTGTTCCCTGCACCCTGCTCATCAACCTATGCACATACACATCTTCTCCTCCATAGAAAATTAACACTGTGCTGTTTGTCTTCCAGCTGGCTGGGTCAGCTGTCATTGCGTTTGGACTTTGGTTTCGGTTTGGAGGCACCATAAAGGATTTATCTTCAGAGGACAAGTCCCCAGAATATTTCTATGTGGGTGAGTGACCAGCTTCTCTGAGGGGGAGAGCCCAAGCAATAGGGCAAGAGGGAGGAACCACTGCCTGAGTCTCTATTACTATTTACTTCAACTGGCACTGGGTGATGCTCCTCCTGGTCCCATGCTTGCCTCTCCAACATGGAAGAAGGCAAGACTTAATTGCTTGTTGAAGACTTTCAAGGGGGCCTGGAGAGATGGCTCAGCGGTTAAGAGCATTGACTGTTCTTAGAAAGGACCCAGGTTCGATTCCCAGCACCCACATGGCAGCTACGAACCATCCTTAACTCCAGTTTCAGGGGAATCCGAAGCCCTCTTCTGACCTCCATGGCATTGTACGACATGGGTGTACTCACTTACATGCAGGCAATACTCATACACATAAAATAAAAATAATATTTTTTAAAAAGACATCTCAAGGAAATGCAACTAAAATTCATCTTAAGGCATTAGAAACTCCTTTTGTCTCCTGAGTGTGTATGCCACACATCTGCCATTCACTAGTCCTTCCAGAGTGGCATGGAGGCCCTGCTGAATCAGGGTTTCATTTTGTGCTCTGATATTTTTAACATGTATAAGGAAACAGCTCAAAATGAAGGGCTGCTTCAAGATTTGGAGGTGCTAATCTCAGTGTCTCCCTGAGTAAGGACTGCTGAGAGGGAAACCCGGAGGTCCTGGGGAGGGGCAGGAGGGTTGTCCTGGAGAAGTGGCCTAGTGAGAAGGGCACAAGCCTCACCCCCTGCCAATGTAGGAAGGAGGTGAGGAGAGGAAAATGGGATGGGACACAGAAGCCAGTGAACTGGTGGTATTATTAGGGGCTGGGTTTTGTCCCTCAAGTACTGCAGCCCTTTCTGGTAGCCTTTTCTCATTCTCTAGATTTTAACACTGTTGTCCCTGTTAACCATAGCAGTGAACAGAGTAAGCTTGGGCTGCTGTGGACTTGTGTGTCTGAGGGAAAGAGTGCCTACACAGGCCATTGGCTCTAGATCCTAGGGAAAGGAGAGTCTCTTCCCAAGGGGAAGGAAGTTCACAGTGGGTTATTGAAGGAGGAGGAGAAGGAAGAGGAGGAGGAGAAGGAGGAGGAAGAAAAGGAGGAGGAAGAGAAAGAGGAGGAAGAGGAGGAGGAAGAAGAGAGAAAGGAGGGAGGGGGGAGAGCTATGAAGGTGGAAGGGAGACATGTTGTAAATTAAAATTTTCTTTAAAAGAGAGAGAAATAGAAATTCCAGGCCAGACTCAGAGCCATGGACATCCCCATGAAGGGCAAGCTCACAGCTGGTCACCTCCTCCTCCACATGCCCTTCCCACACAGCATCCTCTCATAAGGAAAGTAGACCTATCAGTTAGATACTTTACAGAAAAGTAGCAGAGTCAAGTGTGGTAGTGCATGCTGCAATCCCAGCACTGTGGAGGCAAAGGCAAGACAGTTACCATAAGCCTGATCTGCATGGTGAGTTCCCAACCAGTCAGCCAGGGTTACATAGCAAGGCAGGAAAGGAAGAGAGAGAGAGAGAGAGAGAGAGAGAGAGAGAGAGAGAGAGAGAGAGAGAGAGGGAGAGAGA